TTTTAAAATACTGGCTTTAAAAGCACCTGTAACAAACCCCACATATTGGAAAGGAACCTTCCACAGCCCAGTAGAATGCAGGCCATAACCCACACAGGGAAAACATGTTCACCACAAGGTAAGAGATAACCAAAGCTGTATAAGGCATTCCAAACAAGCCCTGTAGAACAAAAAGATATCTCCTTATATCAGAGGTGGGCAAACTATGACCCATAGTCTGGATCTGGCCCACCAGGCAATTCTATCCAGCCTGCAGGCCCCATCTAAAATTTAGACAATTATTACCCACCGGTGGCTACCTGCATGAAACCCAATAAGGCACCGGCTGCAGGAGTCGCTGGCTGAAACAGCAGCTTGGCCTCTGGTTGAAAAGCAACCAACTCCAACATCAACCTGACCTGCCTGGCCCCACCCTGCCTCCAGCCCCCAGAAGCTTCTGCCTAGCAGAGGCTTCTGTCTTGGTAACCCTGTGGCTGTTCCCCAGCCCTCCCTTCATCTGAGAGTCGAAATTCAGGTAAGAAGGGCCCTGGGGGGTGGCGGGGAACCATGGGTAATCACTGCACTACATGAGCTTACAGTATTTTGGCTCCACACCTCCACATGCGGGTCCCAGCTAGAGTGCCAGGAGCCCCATGTGGAGGCATGGAGCTGGCCTGGCTTGGCCTGATGACATGGGACTCCCCTGCAGCCCTGGAAGTCTAGAGAGCCATCGGGCCTGGCCAGATAGGGCTGGCTCTGTGTGGGTCCCAACATTGTAGCAGGGAACTATGTGCCACTGGGCCAGGCCAGGCCAGCTCCATGCAGGTCCCGGCATTGCAGCTGGGAGCCACGTTCCAATCAGAGTCGAGGGTGATTTGGGCTGGCCTGACCCCTGGTAGGTACATGGGCAACAGCCGTGCTGTGTCCCCACAGGAGGCCCAGTGCCCAGTCCTTCTGCTGCAGTTCCTGGCCCACGTGCGCCTGTCCTTCATGTGCCAGTCTACCCCTGGTGGCACACTACCTGTGACTTCCAGGCCTGTCGCTATGACCAGCATCATCACAGCTGAACCTACAAGAGTAAGACTTTATTTTGAGCTATTATTCAATCATGTCTATATATACTACTCAAATTATTTTTTGAAGTAAAATTAAAATCTTTTTGTAGTAGATGTTTGATATTTAGTATATGATGCTCTATCTATACTGTGTTAAAAATGATTTCTTCTGAAAGATTATGTGCAATCCTTGACTAGATTGGTTTGGGGCCATTCTCGGGGAGGTCCAATGCCCCTGAAACCCCCACTGATTGGCTGGAGGGTGATGGGGCAGGATGTTAGAGGGATCACAACCCCTCACTACCTGATAGGTTGTGCCTGTGCCTCGTGGCCTAGAGGGTAGAATTTCTGGGGCCCCAGGGGCAGCCTGTGCACTATGGGGGTGTGGGCTGTGGAGGGGCAGCGTTTCCCTGTCAAGGGGTAGACCTTCTGATGTCAGGGACCATGTGATAGGGGCAGGAGATTCTGGGAAAAACATGGCAAGTGGGGCAAAGTTAGGTGTTGGGTAGGTGGGTCTCACGTCATAGACCATGTGACAAGATGTGACTTCTGGTTCCAAGACCACATCCCTCCTCTGAAAAGGAGTACTTCTGAGGCATGGGGAGGGATGTCTGGTGGCAAAGGTCAGGGGGGCAATGGGGCAGGACTTTTGGTCCCAAAATGGTGACCAGGGGGTGGGGCACCTGTCAAGGGGTAGGGCTACCCTTGTGGAACTCAACAGCTCATCAAAAAACTCATTAAGGGGTCCTCCAGCTGAAATAATTGCCCACCCCTGCCTTATACCCATTCAGGCCATCATATTACTGTTGCCACTCCCTATTGCTGTAGCATGCTACAGAATGTAAGGCAAACCACACATTGAAAAAACTAGGCCCTTTCTCAAACTAGGCAATCTTGAAGATATATACCGGCTCCTATTTAGAAGAGGGCATCACGCATAAAGTTCAGAACATCCCAAAAGAACTGGAACCTCTAGCACCCAACCCTGTGCAATTCGCCCCCTTACACTCACAGATACTGTGCAGCCTACAGAACACAGCTGTAATCTGAGCCAGCTAATACTAAGCAGCTTCTAGATTTTCTGTTACTGACTACCATCTACCTTTCAGTCTCCCAAAGGCACCCTCCACAGCCATCTTGTAGATGTTTAGGCAGTAGTTTCCTAAATTCCAGATGTCCAGTAAAAGGCTTCATCAGCCATAGGGTAAGCAAACTCTTCCCGAACAAGCAAGGGAATTCTTACACCATTAACTGTTCAGTGTTAGCAGCATTAGCACTTTTTCCATTAGGGAAAACAGCTAAGAGTTCCTCAACATCCTAGCATCACAAACTTTCGTGGACCACTCTGTGTAACAATAGTAGACCCACCACAAGGGTCAACCAGGCCTCAGAGCACAATGGAGAATTATCCCTTTCTATTTATCAATTTAACAACTATCTGACTTGGCAAGGGAATACGGGCTCCAAAAATATTTGCAACCAATTGTTTATGAGTTAATGTATCACTGAAACTAAAACATTTCATTTGAATGACACATTCCTTATCTCTCTGTTTACAAATGTGTACAAAACTGTCTGCTTATGCATATGATTATTGTTTTTGTATTATACATTTACATTGAATACATTTATATTTTGAAGAAAGACCAACAAAAATTGTACTAATATCAAAATGTACATATATGAGTGAGTACAATTCAACTGTTACATCTGCATGATTCTGTTGCAAGACAAGTTGCAAAACCAATGCAATGTTAAACCAATCTCACTTTTAGTCCAAGTTAGAGTACTTCTGTTAACTTGTATTAAGACAGAATCATGCTGTGGTAACTGTTACATCAGGGGTGCTCAACCACTTGGCCCATGAGCCAGATCCAACCCCCAGTGCCGTATCACCCAGTGCCACAGGTCTACCCATCTTTGTGCACTAGACCAAACACACAGGGTGGTTCAGGGCTGAATCCTGGTGCGTGAGGCTGGGTGGAGGCAATGCATGGCTCCAGTGTTTGATTCCAGCAGACAGAGCTAACCCAGTGGCAGCAGTGCAGGGCCCCAGAAACAAATCTCAGCACATGAGGCTAGGCAAGGGCAGTGTAAAGACCGACCTGGTTCACAGACCAGCCCAACATCATTCATATGGTTCACAGAGCCAAAAACTTCGAGCACCACTGAGTTAGATCATAACACAGTTGATGTGCAGCATTCCCTCTAAGCTGCATGGTGTGCGTGGCCGTGCAGGTGCGCCTGGCAGTGCGGCATGAGCGCACTCATGCATGCCATGCAGCTTAGAGGGAATGCTGCTGATGTGCACTCCTGAGCAGCAGCAGCCCCTCTCTTCTTCTAAAGTGCTAAAGGGTACATTTGTTTATACCAGTGATTCTCAACCTAGGCTTGAGGCACCCCTCAGAAAATGCCAGCTCTTAGTTTTCACTAGTTAGTTGACTGCAGAAAAAAAAAAGCAGAGCAAATCGTCTACTGCAAAAAACTCAGAAAGACCACAACAGAGCATATTTTTTGCACGACGGATTCCCGCCTAAAATCTTGGGGTTCATCTTGTGCATCATGCTTGCATACCTAACAGTTCTAACGTTGTGTGGCACCCCATGGCACCCTTGAAATTGTCTCAAGTCATCCTAAGGTGCCACAACACCCTGCTTGAGAACTATTGGTCTATAACTTTATTGTTTAGATATGCAAATAATTAAAATTGTCAAGATGCAGTCAGTGACTATACATACTCTTTATTACCAATCAAAAAAGTGGGTAGGCAATCTTCTACAACTGAAGTTAACTAAAGCTAGTACTTCCTATGGACTTTATACACTTAAGAGTGGTACTGAATACTGATATCATCTGGCCATGCAGACCAAGGGGCATATTTGAGAACAACTGTATAAGTCCTACCAGACAAATATTCAGAATCCCAAACCCACTTCTCAAATCACATCCTGGCAGGTGTCAGCAAAAGCAGTGCCCTCATATTACTTGGAGTAGTTTCCACTGTTTGCTTATTACACTACCAAAAGGTAAGCTTCACATGATGCCACAGATATAACCTTTCTTTAAATCTTAGTTTTCAGTCAGTGCATCCCAACAATAAAATTAACATCTTTATTAGGCCATTAAATTAGCACAAAGAAGAAAATATAAACTTTTTTTTTTAAATAGGGATGTCTATTTATAATTCCAATTCAGAAATCCATTAATCCAAAAATTTTATGTACACAATTTTACTAATAGGGACCTCGATGAAATTTTTAAATATACTTTAAAAGATTACTGTGACCTTATGCTACTAATACGACTTTAAGTAATGAAAATTAAAAATATATTTTGTTTTCCGTGTATGCTATTTTTTGTATGTCATTGAGCTGTGAGAATGAAATTAAACTAACTTGTTTCAACTTCTTGTTCTTGTCAGGTAGTTCAATGGCTCCTGGGTTACATTACAGGATAGCAATCAAATCAAAATTATCATCTTCACACTACCCCGCTTTAAAAAAATATGTATCTGTACTGCAGATTTTTTTTCCCCTTTTGCTTTTAAGGCTTACATGATGTAGCCCATGCCTGCATCTCTGACCTGGTCTCCCTCTGCTCTTCTCTCTTCATTCTCTACTCTACCAATAACATTAGCTTTGCCTCGAGTTACCCTCCACAAAGACTTTGTTGTTTCTTCCATGATGCTCCTGATGCTTGAAAGGCCAAAATCTGTGAGAAATGAGGGGGAAAGTTTGTCAATCGAAAACTCATTATATCTTTGCCTACAAAAAAGTGCTTATGCATAGGGGGAAAATAAAGAAAAAAAACTCACAAAAATAGGCAACATATTTCCTAGGTATGTGCCACATATACTAACATAGAACAGGGGCGTGGGGAAGGGTATGTTTTGTTCTCCACTTGCCTTAATTTGGTCTTTTTCATGGGAAAGGCAATGCTCTATTTCTAATCTAGCATAAAACCTTCAAGTGCACCTCCTACTTCCTCCTCTTTGGTTTTGTTGACATGCAGTACAAAACTCTGTCAGGCATTTCTGATTTAGGCCAGAAGAAACTACAAGTTCCATCTCATTTTTCTACTCAAATGAAGGCTAATAAGGAATACACTTATTCTTCTTTAGGAAGAACACCACCAAACCACAAAAAAAAATCACCTCAACTAGGGATGTAAATACTGATTAAAAAAAATATCCATTTAAACCCACTTTAATTACAACGGTTATATGATTAATTGGTATGGCAACCCCCAGCTTTGTGGACAGCTGAGTAAGAGGGAGGGGAAACTTGTACCCAATAAGTTGTGTGGACTCCAGTGAAGCCACTTGCAGCCTCCCCACTGCCTACTGTAAGAATCCCAGGCTTAGTGGCAGGGGCCTGCCCGAAATCCAGGCAGCTCATGGTAAGCACAGCAGAGGCTGCCAACTGCTGCACTAGGGTCCACAAAGCCTACCTATAAGTATTAGTCCCCCTGCCCCTCCTCCTTTCTCCTTCCTCCCTCCTGTCCTGCTGCCTTCCAGTTCCTGCTGGGGCACCATATGACTCCTCTTCTCCCCCTTCCCACTGGAATGTGCTCCACCCTGCCCCACGCTAAGTGATAACTGGTAAACTATAAACAGATATCACCGGGCTTATCAGTTAAACAATTAATCAGTTAACTGCTCACTTCCCTATCCTCAACACTTGTACAGTAATGAACCTGAAGCAATATAGTGATTTTCAAAAGTGTGCTTATGAAGGTTCAAGAATATCATAAAACAAACAGAATGATTAAAACCTAATCATCTGAAAGCCCCTTGCACCACATGTGATATCATCACTGACATCTTCCAAAAAAAATTGCATATAATAATAATAATAATAATATAGTAATCTAGCAAAAATACTCAGTGAATCTATGATGTATCGGATAGCACATAATAATGTAGCATATATAAAGGTTCTGTCAGAGGTGCACTGATACATTGATCCATATCGTATTGGCAACAATAAAAAGGAAAATTTATGTTATGGGCTTTTTTTGGTTGACATGGCCAATAAATGTTGCCAGTAAATGCTGCATACATGCATGCAGCTGCAGGAGTGCAGCCGGCAGCTTGAAGAGCAGTGTCTGACCTTAAGTCTGTGAGAGGGGGAAGGGGCATGGGGGAGGGAAGAGGCAGCAGGGGCAGATCAAGACCCCCATGGTGAGGAGGGAATGGGGCTCAATCAGGCATTGCACAGCCGGGGTGGGGTGGGGTGTGGTATGGAGCTGGTGGCTCATCTGGGGAGTGCAGGGCAGGGGGCGGCACACCCCCAGGGGAGGGATGGGGGCATGTGCCCCACCCAGATTTGTGCAGCAGTGGTACTGGGAGGGGGGGCTACAGAGAATTTAGGGGTATAACCCCCACTCCCAGTGCTGCTACCACCTGCCCCGCCCCACCTGAGCGCAGTCACTGGGAAGAGGCTGGAGCAGCTCTGGCCCTGAGTGCACAGCAGGCAGCCTGCCCTCAGTCCATGCACAGATCCAGGAGGCACATGCCCCCCATGTCTCCCCCGAGTGCGTGTGCAGCAGTGGGAGCTCCCCCTCCCATTGCTCTTGGACAAGCCACTGTCTCCATCCTGTGGCCTGCCCCACCCCAGCTGGGCAGCAGTTTGTCCCTGCCCCAGCCCCACTTCCTCCCTCACCGTGGAGGGTCTCAATCTGCGCCCCCCCCCCCATTCCCCACAGCAGACTTACCAGCCAGACACTGCTCTCCAAGCTGCCAGGCTGCATATCAGCAATTGGATCAATATAGGCTGATATGGCTGGTCAGTAATTGGCCACTGATATCAGCCCCAAAAAATCTTTAAATCGGTGCACCCGTAGGCTCTGTCACTATGGATTTAGGATTTAACTTGGGTACTTATATTGTATCTATGGCACTGGGTATCACTAAATGAAAAATAAAGAAAAAGTTAGAGGGGGTGAAGGGGTGAAATAGGAAGTAGACAAAGATGGATCTTTGAGGCCTTCTACTGTACAACAGCAAAGAAGTGACAATTGGATTGGTGTCTCCTGTCCTTATTGTGAATAAATAAAATAGTGATGAAAGAATCTAAAATAGCACAATACCATTATGGAGAATTCAGATTGTACAGAAAAATCTGCAAACCTTTGTTCTTGGAGGTGCTTAATATCTTTTAATATCAGGAGGATGCTGCCTCTGAAGAAAGGTACTCCATGACCATGTGTACTTTATGTTCATATGAGCAGACCCACTGATTCATCATGTTCTCTCACTGTCAAGATGGATGCTTCCCAGATCTGCTCCCAGCTCTGCTGAGGTATTTGCCAAGATAACTTTCAAAACAGCCTCTCCTCCTACTGCTTTTTGCACTTTCTAGCTTTCTGAACCCCAGCTGAGCTAGATTCTGTCCTTTTCATCTGTTTTGTCCTCCTCCTCTCTCTTTTTTTTTTTGCAAGTTTTATCCCTCGTCCCAGCATGCCCCCTCCCACCCACCACATGCAGCCTCCTCTGCAGTGAGCCAAAAATTTAGCAACCTCCTGCCCCCATCATTTCTGCCCAGGAAATCCTTGAATCTCTCAAAAGCCCACAGCCTGCAGCTTCTTGCCCCTGACACTGTCAGAGTAAAGGAATGAAGCCTGGCAGCCGGGAAGCCATGGGCTTCCACAGCATCAGATATGCCTGCCGGGTTAATGAAGTATCCAGGCTCAGCAAGCCTTGTGAGGTAGGTGGTGGAGCAAGGTGTCACTGCTTTGCCTTTGTACAACCTGGCCATTAAGCTCATACTGTCCAATGTCCCTCCTTATTTCAGTGACAAGCTAACTGAGGACCTGGCTTGCTGTGTTAAGATAACAAGCCCCATTTGTAAAATCTTACTTGGTCCTAAGGCCCCTGAACTCAAGCATGGCCTGTTCTTCAGGAGGCAGGTCTTTATGATCCTTAAAGATACTAAAATCTCTGAAAACTACCCTATGATACAGGCTGGGTGAGCAGCAGTACGTAGTATACCTCTTCAGGAAAGATGCCACATGTTTTCATCTCAGCAGCCTTGCTCACCTGGCTGGTCACTGCTCAGTGAAGAAAAAGGCTGAGGCAAAGGCAGCCCCCATCAAGTGGTAAGTGACCCCAATCCAAGGTGAGTGACAGTGACAGAATAGAGGAACTGGGCCTCCTACCCAATGCACTCCTGCCTCTTCTGACGCTACTGGTACTGAAAGCCAGATTCTTCTCCCACCCATCCAACCCATTCAGGAGGAAATCCTGTGAAATCATGCATTTGCTCGGTCACTACCTATATCACTACTTGTTTCTCCAGCTGTAGACAGCAATTAGAGTGGAGAGGCCAGCCCTCTGCTGTCCCTTCCCATGCCTAACAAGAACAGTGGTGGGATCTGCGTTGAGATCCTGCCTGGGAAGGCACTGTACACATAGACAGTCAAACCACATTATGCCCATGTCCTTGCCACCTGCCCTGACAACTTGGAGGCAGTGCTTCATGTCAGCAACATCAAAGCAAGCCCACCTGGCCTGACACACCCATAAAGGCTACCCATTGCCAAGACAGCTGGCAACCTCCAGCAGCAATTGCTGCATGGGACCCTGGCCACAGGCACCTCTGTCTACTACCTAAATCAGGTGACATCAGTGACTTGCCCTTTCTGCAAGAAGGAGTTGAAGGAGACTCTCTTCCATGCCTCTGTGGCTGCCCCTGGCTGCAGCTGCTCTTTCCTGCCCTCAGCACCCTCTTCGGCATGCTTGACATGAACTTTTGTGAAACTGTGTACATCTTCTCTTTCCCTTACCAAGCAGCCAAGGGGAGCATGATCTGCCTGGCCAGTTTCTTGCTGGGCCAGATGAAGATGGTGACTCCGGGCTGGCTCCAGTGACACACTTCTTGTCTTCGGCTTTCTGGTCCAGATGTGTCATATTTGAATTTGGACACTTCACTTTGCAGGAAAACATGGACCAGTTTGTCATGCTGGGCCACTGAAGGAGCCCTCTGGAAGGTGGACAGGTTGTCCTACATGCCTAACCCCATGAGGAATATGAGGGAGGGCTTCACTCTCCAGTGACATGGTGGTTTTTTGTTGCAAACATGGTATTTCATGCTCGGTTCCTGGGAGGGCCACATACCTTTGCACTTGGACTATTTGTTTTCAATATTTGTAGAATAAAGCTAAACAGAGTTCCTGGAGCTTTAGCCAGCTATCTGTGCAGTGATAACACAGGGACCTTGCCTTTACTCAAAACACCTTGGCTTTCAAAAAGGAAGAATGGGTGGAGTCTGTAAGTGCAAATAATGCCCATGGGGAAGGGGGACAAGATAGCAACCTGTTTAACTTATGAGTCCTCTACCCTGCTGAACCCAGGTACCTTCATTTTTCAGGCATATGAACATATTGGGGGGAGGAGGGGAGAAACAAAACCTTAACCATTTATGAAAGGATTTAACTTGCTCTCCGGTAAAACGAATACAAGGAACAAAGCTGTAGCAAGAGCATTTGTAGAGCTGAAAGGAAGACAGGAAAGCACTATCAGCTGGTCTCCTGAAAGGCCACTGTATTTACATCTGCTGTCTCTGACATGTCATAAAATGACTTATTCTAAATAGAAAAATGAATACTCAGAACTTTTTAACACCTAAGTAAGAAAAATATAGAACAAAGGAGACAGCAAAGCAAAATATGGGGGAGAAACACAAGCAAGTAGCAACACGTGATTTTTACGTTAATTTAAATCTCTCAACATGGGCTCTCCTAAAAAGTACAACTGTGCAGATCAAAGCACTCATCTACACACAAGAATATTTATTCCTGCAATGGAACTAAATTAGCCCCCATACACACCACACAAACTCCATTACTGTTTGTATATTTTATGATGGAACAACAGGCATTAATCATTTAGAGAACTTGGAGGAATACAAACATTTCATAAAGCTGGAAACTAATGCCTCTCTCCAGCCACTGAAGTGGCAATATATTCTTCAATCCC